TAATAGTTCGAAAGAATCTTGTATCTTGAGCAGAAAATTTGATAATTAAGGGAAATTTTTGACATCAAGCAGATAAAAAATCCAGATATTTCTTAGGTTTGAAGTTACTCTATCTAAAAGCCGAGTTCTTCATTCAAAGCATACGTAGGCCAGAAAAAATTAAATACCATAATATATACTAATTGAACATTGTATCGATACTGACTCAAAAAATAATAAAATATATGGATCAAATGGAAATTTAGGAACATGAACATGTTCAACATACTAATAGAGGAGCTGAATGTGGCTTGAAATACTCAAAACTTAAGCACCATTTGCAGTTCGAATGGTGAGCAGGTTCATGCAACATCCTTGCAAGTCAACCTTGAAGTGATTTACAGATGTGTTACACCCAGTCTAATGGGTTCCGGTCAAAATCTACTAGTAGTTTATAAAACAAAGTTACTAATATTGATTGGATCAAGAAAAAGAAAATAGTTAAAGTATATGTACTAGAAAAAATCCAGTATGTGAACTAGAAAAAATCCACTGTCATTTACTTATTTATTTATTTTGACAATTAGAACCAAATAAGCTGAAAAATGATGTAAAATATCATGGCTAGATCTATTCTCGAAGTAAAGTATAAATCATGGCAACTATCATTAATGAGCTTTGTGGATGAAATATTTTATAAAGGAATTAGGGTTCAAATTCTTTAACCCTTACAAGTTGTTTTCTGATGATAAAGAGTTCAATTTACACTGGTTCCAATCATGTTTTCCATGAATGCAGAACACAATAAGATCAATTCCCATGCTGTATGAAAAAGGTTGATAAAGGGATAATTCAAACACCTAGATAGACTTAAGGAATTGATGGAGGCAAAGAGCTCACTAAAACGGAAAACAAAGGAATGATTAGCAAACATTATCTGGATTGAGAGCGATCATCAGTTTTACGGGCCTCTTACTCGTAATGCAAGTTCAACTCATTTATCTGATACAAGGGGACTAATTGACTAAATAATTTGTGTTGCACCTTAGGCAATTATATTAGTGAAAGTAGAAAAGAGAATAAATGGGTATTCTCTCTTTTATAGGGTCCAACAACAGTTTTCTAATTCAAGGTTAGTGATCTTATATTAATCACAGGGGCATTTTGTTAACTGTATAATCCTAAAAGTAAAAGGCATTTTGGGAGTTAGCACATGAATAGAATAGTATAAAATTTGATAAATAGTTGACAACTTGACACAAAGCTTGGATACACCTTAACCAATTTTATCAAATTACTAATAATTTCCAACTATTCAGCTCCGCCCATACTTCAAGAATCCTTCCTCTAAACTCATCTACAGCAAATCAAATCATCATCGTCGTCAAAGCCTTTTCCCAACTAATTGGGGTTGGCTACACGAATCTTGGTCCGCCATTCTGCGTATTAAGGGTCATACCCTCAGTGAGGCCATAAGTTCCCATATCTTATTTCACTACTGCCAACCATATCCTTTTGGGCCTACCCCTTGTCCTTTTTGAGCCTCACAGGTATTGTACTAGGTCCACACCACATATGGCCAGCCCACCTAAGTCCACTCTCTATCATCTTATCGCCTATCAGTGCCACATGTATTCATTTTGAATTCTATCCCTTCTTGTCTTGTCGTTCATCCATCTCAACATCCTCATCTCCACTACATTCATTCTATGGGTATATTATTTTTTGATCACCCAACATTCTGCTCCATAAAGCAAAGCTGGTCTCACAACTAACCTAGGGACTTTGCCCCTCAACTTCATTGGTATGCAGCAATCATCTAAAATTCCGGTAGTACATCTCCATTTCGTCTGCGTAGCTCTAATTCTATGTGCGACAACTTCCCCAATCTCTCCATTTTCCTGGACTTTTGCCTCAAAATATCGAAAGTGCACTCTTTTTGGTATTTCCTGACCATCAATCTTAACTACTTCCTCATCTCTACTCCTATTATTACTAAACTTGCATATCATATACTCTTAGTCCAGTTAATTTTAAAACCTTTAGATTCTAGAGCATCCCTCCAATGTTCTTTGTGCTGACGTTGTTTCAGGTCTCATCAATCAAAACTATGTCGCGAACAATATGCACCAATTTACCGCAGCTTGTAGGTGCCTAGTTAAGTCATCCATAACTAAGACAAAGAGGTATATGCTCAATGCTGACCCCTGATGTAGACCTATTGTCACTGAAAACTCAATCGTCTCTCCACTACTTGTTGGTACACTAGTTATCGCTCCATCATACATATCTCTCACTAAGTCGATGTAGTGTCTAGAGACTCCTTTCTTTGTAATACTCACCAAATCAAATCTCGAAGTACTCAATCCTAAGCTTTTTCCAGATCAATAAAGACCATGTGGAGGCCTTTTCTCTTCGCCCTAAACTTCTCAATCAATTTCGTAAGTTAGAAAATAGCCTCGAATGTTGACCTCCCTAACAAAAAACCGAATTGGTTTTCTGATACACTCATTTCATGCCTTAGTCGTTACTCAATCAGTCACTCCCATAGTTTCATAATGCGGCTCATGCCTCATAGGTTTGACCCCTCGATAGTTCGAATGCAAAAAAAATTGAACATCATCTTTTTTAAACAAAGTATGCATTTACAGATTGAAAACATGGAGTATATTTGATTGTTAACTCAAGTCACAAATAGTTTCACATAATACAGGCAAACAAATTCCCATTCAAAATGAGTCATTTCAAAAGTTATACAGGCAGATTATTCCTTCATATTCAATTGATTTAATTGGAAAAGGTTCCTAGTCAACAGAATATACTTACATTCTCCACTATTCATCTCTATCTCAAGCGCCATGAAAACAAAACAAACTTGTATTCTTTATTCATTGGTCCAGCAGCTGAGATATTCAAGAAATATACATATCTTTTTCTTGTAACTCATAAGTTCTTGTATTAAAAAGATACACTACAATGAACATTTGATAGAAATTTAAGAACAGCAAGCAAATGAGTAACCTTGAGATAACAGCTGTGGATATAAGAAGAATAAATGAAGACACATGACATATGTTTTCTTAGAAATACCAAACCATGGCACAAATACAAGATTATGGAAGAGAAACCAGAAATCCTACCACCAATGGAGAGAGATGGATATTTCATTCACCTTAAAACACCTCCAACAAGTTCTATATCATGTCCTCGTTAGGCTTAGAGATATCAAATATATATGTACAAACTTAAGGATGTATGTGGATAAAATTCTAATTCACAAACTAGGAATTAGAAAAGGACGAAAACCTCCATGCATGAAAACGGAATTAGAAGCAGACTTTGAGCTGATGAGCCTCATTTGTTTAACCTACTATTGTGATGATTACCAATGCAACGAAGTTGGGCAACCAGGACCAATGTTGTGAATCTCTTGGTTCATCAAGTCCACTCTAGCTAGCAGATTCCTGAAATGGAACCCCCAAAATGGGTGTGAGATACCTACCATGATAAGTATGGGTGGAAATGAAAACTATGGGAAAACTGGCTATGAACGGACCCAAAGGAATCAGATCTCTGTAGTAACCAGTTAATGAAAAGATGTGAATTCCCCTCGTTCCAGATCCTAATCAACTACCAGCTCCGACATGAGAATAACCTAAAGGAGACAAAGCATCTATGATATTATCAACCATCACACTAATCTTTCTGTTATCTGTCTATCCATTCACATTGCAATCCCCAAAACCACAAATTGCAATAACCACATTCTTGGAAAACTAATACCTTTTACTGAAATTTAAACTCAATTCACAAGGCAATCCCCAATACTATGTACAATGCCTAGATATGGTCACCCTCCACCTCGAGAGAAAACATTTTCTTTTTCAATTAGCGCTGGAGATAAATCCTGAAGGAAGAATGACTATATCAAATGGGGGAATCCTGAAATTTTTTTTCATCAACTCACTGAAAGATAAACAATCCAACCACTTTGAAAGAACTCATAAGACTAAGAAGGTTCTTATTTGCCATGTTCTCTTCGGGTCTAGAATCACTAAGACCGCCCGAGTTATATAGTACAAGGCTCATTAAGTTCTGGGGGAAATTAATTTTAATACTTATAACCCCAGAATATTTGCAGGAAGCAGCTCCTGAACAACTACAGATCATCATTGAATTCTCTGAGAAAAGTGCACACTAAAATATGGAAGCCAATCAATTGTAAGGTATGACGCACATATGCTTAAAATATTCAAAACCACAAAAAAATTGATACCAAAACATAGCTATAGATGTTTCAGGCATCATAGACTGAGTTACTATTATTGGTTGAAAAGAAGTAAACAGTCATTCAAGATAGCAGATAAAGAGTTCATATTTCCCATGATGTTTGTCTGCCTCTTTTTGGCACCTTCTGTACAACTTCATGTCAAGTGAACGTGAAGATTGTTACTAATCAATATCTAGAATAAAAGTAAACCTCGTACACATGCAAATACAATAAAAGTTATATAAAGTACAGTAGTTCTAAACTATCTATGAGGGAGGGTCATTGAATGTATCCATGTGTGTGGGTGTTAGAGAGAGAGAGAGAGAGAGAGAGAGAGAGTTATTATACTAACTAAACTAAACTTAACGTAAATACAAGTACTTGTGACTAAGTTAAAAATTAAAAAAAAACGAACTAATAGTAAGGTAAAATAATAACGACTACCATAGATAGTAGGAGACAAGGACACACGGAGGGTAGTAGG